GCTTAAGGGAGTACTAGCCAAAGGTACATATTATTGTAGTAACCTACCTCTCATCTCAGCAAACACGCGTGGGTCTTTTTATTAATAAACCTGAGAGAGTATCTTTAACTCCTCTATCCTTATTTTTGCCAGTAATATAGTCACTTTATTAAAATTTGCCTGATTTTACTGTTAGTTAGTCTATGCATTAGGTTCTGAATTTTCACACTTTTCCTTTGAACCTGTTCTCTTTCAGATTTTTCTTGTTTCTATCTAAGTGGCTTTGGATCTAGATTCCCTTCCCTACTAGTTAAAATCTTCCGGTTAAAAATCTATAAGATGGCTTTTGATTTGGCTTCTCTCTGAACCATGACCTCAGAAATTCTAACTTTAGCTTTAAATACGATAGTTCATTTAGAAGTGGTTTTTCAGTTACTGAATCTTTATCCAAGCTTGGATGCCTCAGGCTCCTACGTATAGGTGTTAATATTCTCACTCACTGTTTTTCAGTCTTTTATTAGCCCATGAGCTCCAGACCATTTCCATTAGTATAGTTTTGGATTACAGCGTGACATTTAGGATTTTCCCCCTTTACTTAATGTAGTGACTTCCAGTGTGGGAGAAGGCTTCTGAGCTTAGAGAATATCAAAACAGTTAAACAAGTTAGTTTGCTAATTAAATCTTACTTATTAATGAAAATGAGAGGACAGTCTTACATAGAAAACTAAAATCTACGAACCAAATATCACTTTTTAATGAAATTCAAGTGCCCTTATTCCTGTGAGCATTTAAAATTCAATATCGTATATGATTTTTAGTTACATCTCTGTTGTCTCCTACTAGGCAAATTCAACAAGGAAGGGCCTCAGTGAGGTATCTAATAAGGCCATTTGGAAGTATCCAGATTTGTGAGGTCTATAGGAGAAAAAGGAAGAAAGGACAACACTGATAGAAAAAACAAAGGGAATGTGAAGTGCTGCATGGCCAAGCTTTGGTTTTTTGCCTTGTTTCCAGATATTCCTATGGATTTGGGATGTGCTCGTTCAAGGATATATGGGAAAATGTTTTTTAGTTAAAGGACCTCCTGGGAGGTGACTGGCATGTATGAAGAGCCTGCCCGTATTTTGGTTACATGTGGTGTAGGCAGAGAGAGGAGGTTTTTAGGAACATTCAAGAAGGTGCAAGGTGGGACCGTGCAGGTTGGAAAGCGATGTGAGGGAAACTGACATGGGAAGAGCAGCTAACAACTGAGAACTGGGGTTTCTCGACTGTGTAGGCATCATAATTTGCCTCCCTTAACTTATTCTTTCACAAAACATTTATCTAAGATATGATATATGTAGAATATTGTTCTAAATACTGTGAGCGATACAAAGTAGTCTTTAGCCTCCTGGAACTTAAGACATGTTAAGAGATGATACATGTATATAAAAACTACAGTACATAGGGTAATATCAGAAGTGCTTCAGAGGAGGAACAGAAGAATTCAAAGAGGTTTAGAGGGAGAGTCATTTTGCCTGGGAAAACGAGAAAGGTATACTGGGTGGAGGTGATGTTTGAGCTTGATCTTGCAGAGTGGAGAGAACTCTCTCCACGGTGTGGCTGAAGGGCAGGGTGTATTCGGTAAGTAGAGAGAAACATCCAGTGTTACAGAGCACTGAGTACAAGCAAAAGAAAAGTTCTGTTGGTTGTCGGATTGTAAAGGGTCGTAAGCATTGTGGTGACACAGATTTAGGCTCTATTTTTCAGGAGAAAGGGAGAACAGTGAAGATTTGAGAGCATGGAAATAGAATTATCTAATAGCATTGTAATCTGACCACAACTGTATTTTGAGTATGATAGGGAGAGGTTGAAGGTGGTGGGGAGAGTGGCTGGAGAAGATGAGATAATAACAAATGAAGGTTAATGATAGTGAGTGATTATTCCAGAATGTTTGATAGGCACTGGAGGTCATGACCCATTAGATTGTGAAATCCATTTAGTTGGTGGGGTAAGCATTTTTTAAAAGGTAGAATAGAAAATACTAGATTTCATTGCACTTAGTAAGTATTGTTTTATAAAACTTCTATATCAATTTTTATTATGTATGTATTGTATTTCATTGTGTGTGTATGAAACTGTGATGTAAAATATATTTCTGGCTGTGGATTGTGGTCAAGGTAGAGAAACTCTACTAGATAAAGTGTTTTCCATAAAACCCTATCTTCGCATTACAATTCCATGGTGCTGTGTGACTATGGTCTAGTTTAAGCAGGAGCATGAGAGAAATTCTCTGAGTTCATTGTGTATGGGAAGATCAGTCTGTGTTGGAGACAGACACTGCCTGAAGCTTAGTCATGTTTTCTGCTGTTTCTTTTAGGAACACGATAGTGAGTGTTCAGCTTGATCTGTAAACTGTAGTTTTCGAAGATTCACTGTCATCACTTTGAGGGATCTCTCACATTTCTAAAAATGGTCAAATGCTTTAAAATAGTGGTTTTCAACAAGGGACAGTTTTATCCCTTAGGGCAGTGGTCCCCAACCTTTTTGGCACCAGGGACTGGTTTCATGGAAGACGGGTTGAGGCAGAGCTCAGGCAGTGATGTGCAGGCCAGTTCTGGGGGTTGGGAACCACAGACTTAGGGGACATTTGCCAATATCTGGAGATATTGAGACATTTTTGGTTATAATAATTTTGGTAAAGGGGTATGCTACAGGTGTCTGGTGGGATGCTGCTAAGTATTTTCCCACGAACACTACAGATTCTTACAATAGAATGTTATCTAGATTAAAATGTCAACAGAGCCAAAGTTGAGAACCCTGCTTCAGAACGATCCAAACTAGTTATTTAAAAGAAATGAGATTGGTTAACACAGCAGTTGAAAGATTCATGTTATTGACCTAACACAGACTGAGTGATATCATTTGTAGAATGCTCTGATCATCAACTTTATTAGATTTAAAATGATAAATCAATACTTGCTTATATGTGACCCAAATGAAATGCTGCACAAAACCGTTTAGAAACACAAAGTTTACAACTCTGAGATCATTTCCTGAATCTTAACAGTAAAAGTCAGAATTGTATTTTACCACCATAAAATACAATAATTTATATGCCCATGTATAACTATATATGAAGAAGCAATTTTGTCTTGAAGTGAGTTTAGAGAATTGGCAGCCAGCTGCCTAAGTGAATCCCATCATTTAAATTTCCTAAGAGTTTCCTCACTTAAAATAGATTCAGTAACTCTCGCTGAAAATTTTATAGATCTGATGATTCAATAAATATAGATAGTGAAAAAGATGATTTGTAAGGAAAAGAGAATGTGAAATTGATACCTGAGTTCTAGGCCCAGTGGGGATGCAAACTGCCTATAGCTTCACCAAATCATTTATATTTTCTGGTTTCAGTTCTCTAAACCATAACATAAGTGTGTTGGCCTCTGTGACTTGTACAATCTCTTCTGAACTTTAAAATTCTGTAAGTCTAAACTATGGATCAAATTTTTTTGTGTATGAATTGCATATCTTTTTTACTTTAGCATTATTCTCATGTCTTCTCAATAGAAAATGGGGGAAATTGTTTATAAAATAAGTCCATTGTTCCAATGTTTTGTTTTGGCTACATGAATAAATGACTCCCCAGCCTGCAAGCCCTGATGTTTGTGGGCATTGCCACACTGAGTAACTGCAAAGTCTTCATTTCATTGTATTATGAAAGACATGAGCCTGATTTTCTAAATGACTTCATGAAGACACTTTACTTAGAGAGCATGTTTTCTCCTTCACAAGTACTATGTGATAGGTGCTCAGAATTTATATTTATTTAAAAATTTTGTTTTAGAGTTTCATAGTTGCAACAATAAGAATACTGCCACAAGCTTTAGGGGAAAATTACTGTAGCAATATAAGGGAATAAAATTTTTTCCCCCTTACGGAGAAAGACAATGCCCTTTGATTCTTCAAGGCATTAGTAAATCCTCAATTATTTCAGGCTTTTAATCTTATGCTAATAATGGACAAAATCTCCCCCTGATGGTCAAAATATGTAAATGCATCTATAAAATATCAAATTCTTGGGTCCTTGTTTTGGGATTGCTCATGAACTTACCATCACCTTTCCCCAAATTTTTATAACAAAAATACATTTTTGATTAACTAATTACTATATATACATATAATTCATTAATTAGTCTTTCTCTAAGTATATCTGTAGGGTAAGAAATATCTGTGTGTGTGTTTGTGTGTGTGTGCATTAAAAAATCACCAAAAAATTAGAGAGGTTTTGCAACTAAAAAAGTTTAGAAGATCTCTGGCTTGATTTACCACCAGAGTTTATTTCCTACATGACCTTCTTTTGTGAGTGTCCCTCAAATGAATTTAGAAGTACCAAATTTATTTTTTTATGGAGGAAAAGCTTTTTGGAAAACCTGGAAGAATAAAGAAAAAGAAAAAGAAAAGGAACTGTGAGCTCCAAAGAACTAATAAGGAATTACTTAAAGGTTTCCTGAATTCTTTGATATTTCAAAATCACTTAAGGGAACACCCTTGACAAAGGCACTCTACCCTAACCTATCACAGACTGTCTTCAAAAATTTGTGTTGCATCTCCTTTACACTCCGACTTTTGGAGACTTTTATTTTTTTTATTTTTAATTTTTTTTTTAAGAGACAGAGTCTCTGTCACCCAGGCTGAGTGCAGTGGCACAATCACAACTCACTGCAGCCTCAAATTCCTGGGCTCAAGTGTTCCTCTTGACTCAGCCTCCTGAGTAGCTGGGGCTATAGGCACACATCACCACACTCAGCTAATTTTTAAAATTTTTCGTAGCGACTCTGACTATGTTGCCCAGGCTCGTCTTGAACGCCTGGCCTCAAGTGATAACTTTCATGATTTATAAGAGTTAAGTATCGCTGCTGTATGTTTCAAGCCATGCTAAACGGATCCATTACCTTACAAATAGAAATCCCTTATAAATTGGTTATGGATTATTGGTTGATTAAAGTGATTTTAAAATAAATCATGTTATGTGTCTTGTGTTCCAGGTCCAGTCATTTAATCCCATTTCATTGTACTACACCCACCGAATATTTTGATTCTCATGCCTGTATGACCTGCATACAGCTCTCTTTGTTTAACTTTTATGGTGAATTAGAGGCCTGTTTTCGAAGCAATCCATTTTCGGTAATATGTCACTTGTGTGTAGACTCCAGGTTTGTTCTTTTGACCACAGTTATCGCCCCAGCTCACAATTCCAATAAGATACCACGTGTCTTTAAGACCCTTTGCAACCAAAGGTCCCCCAGAATCACCCTGAAAAAAAAAAAAGGAAAGAAAAGAGAAAAATTACCTAAGCATAGAGCTTTTTATTTAAGATATTTTGATGAACTGCATATTTCATTACTAGGCAATATATGTATAGATGACCAATCTAGAATGATTAATTGATACATGGATTTCAAAATTATAAAGAGCTCTCAGGTTCAATTTTTCACATTTTAAAATTAAATTTTATTTTTGTTAAAGTAAACAACACAAGTTGAAAAAGAAAAGAAAAAGAAAAGAACATTAAGAGGCTGAAAAGCAATTATATGTCCCTCATTGCCTCATCTTGTGTGTCCCCTTGGGGTAGCCACTTCATGCTTGTTTAATAATTCCTTATAGTATCTAACTCCTTATCACTAAATAATATGCTCAAATTGTTCTTTCCAGATTTAGACAGCATATATTGATTTTCAGTTATAGTAGGAAGATATTTAGCTGTTTTATAACCTCTTTGCAACTTTTTCTCACCACATCTTTACATGATAGCATCTCCATTTTTGGTTAAATTAACAGCCAATGTTTCCATTAATATCAGTTTGTAAATGTTTTTTATTGGGGAGTCAAGTTATATATTTTGATTATGTTACTTTTTTTTTTTTGGCCAGACTTTGATTTCTTAGAATTAATAACACACTTTGACACTTGGCTGGTTTTCTATGTACCTGTGGCAAATGCTGAATGCTCCAAAAGATCTACCAGGATTTAACAATGATTTTTATTAATATTAATGTGCAAGTGCATCAGATAACTTGCCAGTTCTTTTACTCCCTCTGAGGATATCCTTCCATCTCAACACATACGTGTGCATGAGCACACACACACACAGATACATTCTCTATCTCAATTTCTCTCAAACACTGTCTCCCTCTCTTTCTGTCTCTCTCCCTCCTCCCCCCAACCCTCCTCCCTCCCTTTCTTCTGCTCTAATGTGGACTGGATACTGGGACTGTCAGTATTCTATTGTATTGGATTCACAATGTTGTGGGTCTCATGTCTCCTACTTTCGTAATTTACTTCCTCATTGTGTTGAGGTTCCCTCTCAGGTGGTTTCCAAAGCAAGAAGGCATATGAGGAACATTTTTTTGAGTCATTGCTTACCTGAAATTCTTAATTCTACTCTCACATTTGATTATTAGTTTGCATGAGCAAGAACCTAAGTTGAAATCATTTTCCCTTTGAAATTTGTGTGCATTTTCCACTGTCTTCTATCTTCTAGAGATACTGTCAAGAAATTCTATGCAGCTCTGATGCTTCTTCCCCCAAAGCTTTAAGAATTCTCCCTGCCTGCATCATCTTTGGCAATCTTCCTACTTGATTCCTACTCCTCTTCTAGGTACGAGCTCAACTCCAGCCACCCCTGCTACTCATGTTCATTTCTTATATATACTCATAGACCACGACCTTTTCCTCCCAAGCTTTCTTTTTCAATTGACTTTCTTTCACTGGTATAATTTTTTGATTAATGCATATTTCATCCACCAGACAGTATGTTCCCTGAAAGCAGGTTCTATGATGGTTTGTGATCATAAGTCTATTTCCAGTACCTGCACGGTGTATGGCACATACCGTGTTTCCCTGAAAATCAGACAGGGTCTTATATTTATTTTTCCTCAAGAAGACACCCTAGGGCTTATTTTAAGGGTTTGTGTTATTTTCCCCTCAAAGCCTCAGCTTGCAGCACGCACAGGATGGCCGGGACCTGACAGGTGGAGCCAACCTTGTTGGTGCGGCTGCCCGCACCTTTCCAGTCACCTCTGGGATAGTAGCTGTCACCATGGGGCAGATGAGAAGGGCTGCTCATCTTCTTTACCACTCAGCAACGAAATGCATGGGTTGTGATTTTCGGGGTAGGGCTTCCATTGTGCAAATGCTTAGAAATCCTGCTAGGGCTTATTTTATGGGTAGGTCTTATTTTCGGGGAAACACGGTAGTAGGGCATTTACACATTTTTTTGAGTGAGTAAATGAAGAGATTTAGAATAAAGGAAATGATGGCCAAGGACAATTCTGGACTAATTTTCCTATCCTACATAGTCTCAACTACCTGAATTTAAATTGTGGGTACTCCAGAACAATGGTGCCAACACTGTTTTCTGAAATGATTTCAAATGTCATCTTGGGAAAGCTCTCCAAGAAGTATGGCGCTGCCTCTGTGGTGTTTACAACTGAGAATATTTCTTTTTGTAAACTCTTGACTGAGCTGGAAACAACAGCAGAATTATAAATATGGACCAAGTTGTCAACATCTTTCATTTCTGAGTTTCATACCAGCAATCCGATCCTTTTGTCATTTGGGTTTGGGTCTGGCCTGGCTAGATCTCCGGTTGAAAAAGAAAAAGCAGACTTTGGGACCGATTATATATATACGGCAGCGGATTTATTGAGCTCTAGACCAACATTTGGTAAATTTGAGAAAGTCAAGCTGATGCTGCTACCTGGACTTCTGTTTTTTTATTTTTATTTTTTTC